GAAGGCCAAAAGGTTTCCCGGCTGCTTGCAGGCGAGCTGGAGCCACGCTGCCGGGAAGCTCAGGACCTGTCCTGGCCCATCCACAGCTCCTCTCCTCCCTTCACTCAGCGCCGTGGCCGAGAAAAGCCCCCTGACGCCATGTCCTGCTGAGTAGGGCCACCCTCGCAGAGGGGCTGCAGCGTTGCAGCGGGCTGGGAGGGGAGGGAGGGAGGGATGCAGGGAGGGATGGAGGGATGCAGGGAGGGATGGAGGGAGGGGGGGAGGGAGGGAGGGGGGGCAGGGAGGGATGCAGGGAGGGATGGAGGGATGCAGGGAGGGATGCAGGGAGGGATGGAGGGATGCAGGGAGGGATGCAGGGAGGGATGGAGGGATGCAGGGAGGGATGAATGGAGGAGCAGAGCAAAACAGCAGCTGCTTCAAGCTGGGCTGGGCTCTCCCCTTTCTTTGGATGCCACCTGGTGACCGAAGGACACAGGGAGAGGGCACAGTCCCACCGACCTGATGAGGAGGTCCCGCAGGTAGGCGAACTCACAGTGTGTCGTGTTCTCCACTGGTAGGAAGAGAGAGAAGCCCATCAGCGAGCACCCACAGCATGAAGACGGCAACCGCGCAGGGCAAGGAGGGATCTACAGGGCTTCGCCAGCGTGTGGAGGGCTGAGAGGGGGACTTACCCCCAGGGGCTACAGGGTGCAGGACTGAAGAGTCCTCTCTGCTCCTCTGAGGCCAGTGATTTACCCAGGTATCTGCCCCAGCTCAGCATGACCAACTGGCTAGCAAGGTCTGCCTGAGCATTCCCAGTTCCTTCCCGCCGTCTCCCACCAAACGAGGGAGCTCCCAGCAGCGTCCCAGCTGCTTGAAGATAACGCAGAAATGGCAAGACAACAAATAACACCGTTCTGCAGAGGCTGCCCGTGGCCACAGCCGGGTCCTGGGCTCTCCTCACGCTGAAGGCAGATGCCACATGCAGAAGGTGAGTGGTTTCAGGGGCCCCATCACCCTCAGAGCTTCCAAGGACAGAGCACAAGAGGGCAGCAGAGCTCCAAAATACACTGATTTTCCTGGAATCTTTGTTAGGCCACCCCTCAACAAGCATTCCTACCAAAAAGGCTCATAAATGAGAGAAATCTATGAAATGAAGGGGAGGAAGACAAGACGGGTGGCACGGGAGACATGCCAGTTGGCTCTCAGGGACAAGGAAATCTGCAGATGCGCAGGAGCCAGGAGCCTTCCTCTAGCCTTTAAACCACGATCTTAAACGGGGGATAAAAAAAAAAGATGCTGATGCGATGAAGATGGAAGAAGGAAGAGATCCTACGAGGGCACCGGCCAAATGCATCGTGGAAGGTGCAGAGACCTACGGATGTCAGGGGAAAGGCTCTAACCTGGGCTCGGGACACACAGACATCGGCACTGCCCTCGTGCGCCCTCCAATCCAGCCAGCAGTCCTTGAACTGTGCCACCAGCAGCAGCCAGGCCACAAGGAACCCAGCAGTGTCCCCTCCGGCACTCTGCAGCCCCCCGAGCCGCACAAAGGCCCAGGAACTCGGCGCAGGAGCATTGGCCGAGGTGTCTTCAGGCCCCAAACACCGGGAAAGTGGTTTTCTTCGGAGGGGCGGGGAAGCACTACGTACACCTCGACTTCTGCTGCTGGTTTTGGACCTCATCACCTTCTGTCAGGGCAGGGAGAAGGGCTCAAGAGGGAGCCCTTTCAAGGGCTCAGGGAAACGTTGACAAGGTACCTTCAATGGTGCCCCACTTGGTCTTCCTTCCAAGGATTCTTCTTCCATTAACCTGGTACTCCTGGTCACTGCCCACCACCGCAAATGGGATCATTTCCTGAGGAAAGAGGGAAAAAAGATTACATTTTCCTCCTGAAAACCGGCCAGGAAACCAAGCTGGCGAGCAAAGACCTGCGCCAAGCTGTTTTCAGGAGAGAGTTTCACGGGATGAGCTGGTCTGACGCCGACGCTCCCGAGCAGCACTGCCTGCCGGCGACTGCGGGCAGCCCAGGACCTGGGCAGCAGCATCTCACGCACACGTGCCCAGTCCAAACCCAGTCTGAAACCAGCCCAAAACCAGTCTAGGCCAGCACCTCATCGGCAGGTGCCAGCACACAGCCAGGGTAAAGGTATCATGATGCTTCCCTGGGAATCGCCCCCAGCATCGGGCAACCTGCAGCACAGTCACTGCCTGATCCAAAGTGGTGGCTTCGTACTTCAGAGTCCCTGGAAGACTTCTGTCTTCCTTGACTTTGTCCAATCCACTTTACTGAGCCAAAAAATCATTAGCTGCTTGCTACAGCATGGAATCGACAGCTACGAAAGCAGAGCAGCCTACGGACAGACTCCCTCCCGGCGCCGGGAAGGCTGCTGCCCTGCCAGGGACGGGCAGCACCAGCACTCCCTGCCCCCGGGACAGGGCAAGGGGCCATGGGACCTCCCTGCCCGCTGGTTGCTGAGGGCCCCTTCGAGGAACGGGGCTGGGGGACGGAGCAGTGACATGGATGGGAAAGGATGCCTTTCCCAGGTACCTTCCTCACCCGCTTTCTGTCCCTGCTCTGAGCTCTGGCAGGATCCTTGGTCCTGGGCAGAGCCCCTGGACAGGGGCACAGTGGCTTTGGAAAGAAAACAAGAGGCAGTTCACAAGAGATCCCCAAGAGTCCACCAGCACCCAGAGCTGGAGGACTCACCCAACACACCAGCACTAACCCTGAATTTCTCATTCACTAGCCGATCTTCAGAGTCTTCATCAAACTCCTTCTGAGGATACACATCGATCCCGTTGGCAAGAAGATCAGCCATTATCTAGGAGAGAAGAGCAGAGGAACGCATGAAGGAGACACGGGCAGAGGAGCTGCCATCCCACCACGCTGGCAGCTCCCAGCCGACCCACGAGGCTCTCGTGAACAACGCCCAGCAGCAACATCTCCCCTTTCCATCCTAAACACTGCCCACCTTGGGGAGAGAGACCTGGGTTTAACTGCTACACACCTACCAAGCGCTTGCCCTGGAATCTCAGCAAGAACCTGGTGCCAAGACACGGTTCAGGCTGAGAGGGAGATGAAGTTATACGAGCTGGGCGTTGCTTTGGGATTGAAAAAGACAATACAAGCTGCATCAAGCGGTGGGGAACGCAGCTGCCAGGCACGTAACCCAACGTTCAGCTGCTTTCTGGTGTTTCCTTCTGCTCTGTGGAAAAGGAGTCACAGCCACCCCTGACCCGAGGGCACAGCGACACAGAGAGCCTGGAAGATCGGCCTCCAAGGACACTGCCTCTGTGTGAGGCCAGGAGACCCAAAATCTGCTTCCTGGGTGGAGGCTCAGCTCGCGGGGAGCACGGAGGATCAGCCTTCTCCAACAAAGCTGCAAACCCACACCCAGCCTGCGCGCCCGCTCCCATCGCTTCCCACGACAACAAACTCCCCTGCGTTGCAGGCTGGCAACGGACGTGGATCCAGCCCAGAGAAACCCCCCCAGCCGGCCCCCCACC